CCCTGCCTCCCACGAATTATCTCGTTCAGAACGCGGAGATCGCTACTCGGCCTCAAACAGTATACCATAACAAGATTAGGCCATATACAGGTCCACCTCCAGTAGGTTACGAAGACGAAGTCTATGCGGTACTAGAAAAAGAGGTTCCGTCCGATCGAAACCCACTGGTCAACACCGGGGACGGTGCTTGAAAGAGGAGGGGGCTGTGTGATATCTCCTACTCACCTCATCTGTATCCCATTCCCCATCCTTCCTAACAACGATGCCTAATAAATCGTCTACAACCAACTTCCTCTTAAAGTCTGAGAACCAGGGACCAGAGGGTAGGCAGACAGTAACTACATAAATAGGACCGCTTTATAATACGAAACACATACTGAGGCTAGAGTGTCATGAGTGTTCCAGTTTGATAACTGAAGGCATGGGACTAGGCTGAATGCTTGTATTCAAACAGAATATTCAGGAGTGAGATTGCGGCCTAGCCTGAAGGTGAATCTATTTGGCAGGTGCGGGATGTCCACCAAATTGATCACGACTCACACAGGCAATAGGATAAACGAAGCATTGCACATCCCCTCTCCTTTTGAGTGAAGGTTCCAGCATTCTTATCGATACAACTGTAGCATTCCGAGACTTCCCATAGGGTGGAGGAAGGCATAAGTGAGGTTGAATACATGTATTACGGAAACGACGGCAAATGGATGCTGAGCTTGGCCCGAAGGTCAATCCACGTGTACAGGAGTCAGACAAATTCTAAAGTGAACACCAAACGTCAGGTAGTCACATAAACAAAGCATTACAGGACCACCTTCCAAGGCAGTCAAATATATTCCTTAACCCTAGAGAGGTTGATGAATGGCATGGCTGAATATTTGGTGATAATGGTACGGGGGCCGGCGTGAAAAGTTTTGCAACCTTCACTCAAAAGAGGAGGTTGTACATTGTTTTGTTTATTCCATTCCCTATGTGAGTTGTGATCACCTTGGTGGAATTTATCGCTCCCGCCACATGACCTGGCCTTCCATTTGGATCCTATTCATACTTCTGCTTGGAATGGTTCGTTTATGCGACCATCTGCTATCTAATGTTTACTTTAAGATTTGTCTAACCCTCGTACACGTGGGCGACTGCTATATTCGCCCTGGAATATATGTATTCAGCTCCATTTTATATCTTCTTCCACACAGTGAGAATTCTCGAGAAGCAATTTAGCGTCCTGAGAACTCCTGGCCGGTATAAGAAGTCAGTAAGTGCAGTTAGATACCTGCATTCTGAAGACGACAGGACAAATGGTCCTGGGCAGGGCCCGAAGGTCAGTCCACGTGTACAAACGGTCATGACAAAGTAGGAACTTATATTGACCATCATTTGTGCTGAGGATTAAACCTTGGAAGAATGATCTGGAACAGATTTATAAAAAGAAATTTGGGACTTAAAGCAGTCCTTTGCGGGTGTAGGTTTGGCTTATTATCTTTGCTGACATCTATGGGCGTTTATGGAAGCGAACCTTTTCTTGATGGTTCAAGGAGTTATTGCTTCGGGTGTAAATAGCCTGTCTACGGGACACGGAGTCAAGGTAGAAACCAGTCCTTTTATTGTGAAGGTGGAAACTAGGCCTGAAGCATATGAACTTCAATAGACCCTCAAAGCTTGTCACTGACAGTAAAATTAAAATCGAAGTCGTGACAGTTGGGTGGTTTTCCTCAGTCAAAAGTGTAACCTTATGAGATCTCGCATTTTGCATCAAAAGGTACAAGACCTGTTAGAAGGGACTTTGGAACGATCGGAAAGTCAGCACACCCAGCAAACGTAAGTTGCCAGTAGCCAAGCAAAGCACCACGTGTGCAGAATTACATATTGCTGTAACCTGGCTTCTAATAACAGCCGCTCTTCAGCACCCTTGGAAATTTGTAAGGGAGAGGTCACCATGGGGTGAGATCAAACCAGCCTCTACTTGCCAGTTGTGGCACAACCATAAGGCCTTTATCAATTGGTGTACTAATCGCAGGGCAATGTACCACTTGTCTACACGCAAAAACGGGGCTATTTTCCATCTAGTTTATCACTTTATTTGTTGTATACTCAGTTCACTGCCCACATAACGCCTTGAGGACAAACGAGTTATGAACCATAGATTTTAAGCGGGTGGTAACATAATATTAACAGCATGAACGGCGGAACTACGCCCAGCACACCATACCAACAAACCAAATACAACTTGTACTAGGCGGCCCCACTAAATGGCAGGAAAGTGCGTGACCCAACCATCCTATTTATGCCTGCATCAGTACAAGCGCCTGTATTTCTCACGCGATGGTAGATTCAGCAAGCGCACTGTCGAAGCACAACGAGCTTGCTCGCGTATACGAGGTGCTGGAACTATATTCCGGTAAGTTTCATGGTCTAATGCCTTTACCCCATTCCAAATCCATACCTTTAAGGTGTATGCAAAGCAGTTTTAATGATCCTAGGAAACATTTCTCTGTCCTCCCATTACCCACGAAGAGTCCAGGAAAGAATTGAATGGAGGTACCGTCTTTTCGTTTGTAGAAATGGTAGGAGAGGTGAAGGCTGTAGTACAGTTGCGTGAAGCGGCACAGGAGCAATTGTCAACTGATGAAAGAAATCGGCTCTCTGTTGCGTACAAACACACTACTAGCCGGCTGCGCACCGCCTGGCGTGCAGCGGCGGAGATTTTACCCAGCGCAAGAAACTTTACAATAGTAGGCCTAGTACGTCAAGTTCGGACCCAGCTGAAGGATGAAATCTTAGATCGGTGTCAAGAAGTCATTCAGCTTCTAGAGAATCAAACCGTCACCCGAGATGAGGACGGAGTCTTTCTTTTGAAGATGTAAGTTGATAGCACATTGGAGAGTTGGAATCTACAAAATAGTGGAAAGGAATCGACAAATTATGATCGATTTGGGTTGACAGGCGTGGAGATTATCACCGATATCAAGCAGAAGTGGATGGAGAGAAGACAGAACATCAACTGCAGGCTGCCAAGGCCTACGCAGAAGCTTCGACACTGGCAAAAGAGGTTCTTACACCAGTGAATTCGGTGCGTCTTGGTCTCTCGCTCAATCACTCCGTCTTCCTGTTTGAAATCGTTGGTGATCGTACAGCTGCATGCCTGCTGGCAAGAGAGACACTTGACCAAGCGCTTAGAACAATTGGTGATGCGGATGCCGAGTGCCAATCAGAGATCACCCTTATTCTTCAACTTTTGCGCGACAACCTCACCATTTGGAGGACTGAAGATTCCACTGACGAATAGGCGTACAGACGCTCTCCTCCAATTCTCGATATCTTAATTCTTCTCCTTATTTTCGTACTTCATATGAAGTGATCAATATGTGAAACGCATTCTCTACAACTAAGTGACAACGGCTGGCGCAAAGTATTGGCGCAATACAATGCGACAAGTGTGCTGTTTCAAATCTGAAAACCAATCATGATTTCAGAAGACCTTGCAAAGCATCTGCAGTGGTGAAATCACACAACATCCATAAGATACTCTTGCGTTAAGGGCACTAGATAGTGTTGGATATGCTAATGTAGCCTCCGTAGACTCCAATAGCTTTGACAGTTGCGACCAGGAATTAGGTAAACTGAAGGGTGCAGACCAATGCTCACTATCATTTTCATGAATAGCTGACTTTTAGCATTTGACACTGATAGCATATACTTCAGTGTTGGGTCGTTAATATTATCGTATCATGCTGACCTCAGATCTGCAACACTCCAAAACGCCATATGTAGTAGGGCAGAGACGAAAAAGCACGATGAACATAGACCGGGGTTTTCCCATTTACGCACCAGGATCTGGCCGATTGCAAGAATAATGAAGCTTTTCGGCAGATTGGTTAAAGTACCTTTGAAGAGCTTATATTAGCTAACGATCCTGCACACGTTGAAGGCGACATACCACATGAGGGTGAGAATAACTACCAACGCCTGATAATAGTGAAGCTCAGTAAGTTGGCGCCGCCGCAGTAGAGAAAGAAAAGTCCAAGAAAGGAAGGTCACTTTACTATAAAATACGGACGTTGGATACATAGAGGGGTGGAAATTAGGTAATCGATATTGTCAACAGCATATGTGGGGTAATCATAGCCTAAAGTGAACTACAATGAACTCAGCCGACGGTATAAAGAACTGCAGAAACACAAAAAAACCATCGCCTTCCGTGCGTGCAGAAAAAGGGAGATAAAAGTGTCTACCTTACTAGAAGAATGGTGGTAGAAACAATAGTACCCATATGAAGACAGTGGCGAGAGAATATCGCATTATTTCCTACCTACCTTTAAGCACAGCAAGCGAACGCCCAACCTTCATCGACGCAGACGACCCATCAATGGGCACTAGCGGTCTTGACTAGTAAAAGAAAACTTATATAAAACTAACGGTAAAACAGGGTGTAAAAGAAGATTTTAAATATTTTAAGACGACGTCCAATTTTCTACTTTCATTGAAAAAGTTACCGGTTTTGTATTGTGAGTAGTTAGAGTGCATAAATTTCGGCATACCACTATTGGCTGAATGGAAACATCACGTCACTTTCATTGGTTATGTCGCAAAAAAATAGGCAAATGGAAATAGCAAAAGCGTCTGCCAGTGTAAGACTGTGGCTTGAATCACGCAGTTGCGGTTGGGGCGCAAGTTTGTCGAGGCGATGGCTTCGAGTGGGGTTGGTTTTGTCTGCGGGGTTTGTTTAAAACCGTAAGTTATTTCTGTAATAATCGTTTCATTATGATGTCTATGAGGTGGAGTGAAATGGGGAAGCGTTTATTTGCTAGTCAAGTTGACTTTTATTTCCCAAATCACTGTTGCTCCTCACCGCGGGTGAAGGGGGGAGGCAAAAGCTAGAATAGCGTAGCCGAGGGATTTTGAACTAAATGATCTGCATGGTCTCCCTAGGGAAGCGTTAGTAAAGCGGGAAACGACTTCATCAATAAGCGGCTGTAGGTCATTACGCGGGTTTCCGAAGAGATTTTTTATTTTGACAAACTGAGAAGACTACCAGAATGTTCAGTCCTGGGGTGTTGTTGGACTTGATAACGGTGGGAGTTCATGCGTGACGAATTTGCAAACTTCGTGTTTCATTGTGCCATTAAGGGTAAGGAATCCGTACAGCCTTCCGTGTGGACACACGTTTTGCTTGAGACCTTGTCTGCTTTCCCACACCAACGCCGTGACGGCTCGCTGCATCCACTGCCATGCGACGTTCGATGTGTCCGAGCTGCGCCCCAACTACTGCAGCGGGGTAGAGTTGTCATCACAACAGAAGCAGGGACAGCAGGTGATATTTAATGTAATCCACGCGGAGGAGGTATCGTTAGATGCCCGTAGTGCCAGCGGAATCCACTTTCCCGCACGCTGCAGCACTTGTAGGAAACCAGCTGAAGCAAATGAATTGGCTATTTGTCACCACTGTCATCATGACATCTGTCAACAGTGTCGTGAGAAACATCGTGATAGTGTAAGTGGTAGTGTAAGTGCCTATGTGCACTGATTGCTTGTATACACTCATAGTGAAGAAAGACGATCCCACTGCTACAGTGGGTGCGGAATTCAAACCGCTTTATTTTTACATTGCCTTCACCCAGTTCAGCTTGGTAGTGCGTGTGAAATTGAACGCTCTGTCCCGCCACAAACTACTTTTGAAGTCGCGTTTGGAGAGTTTGTGCGAACGGACATCCTCTGCATTGGAGTCAGAAGGGGAGTTAAAGGGTGGGATTTTTGCTGCCTTGGAGGAAGCAGTGATGGAATTGCGTGTAGCAGCAAGCAAGTCGCTAGATACTGCCACAGCGAAGTTGGAGGTGGTAGATGTGACCGGATACGAGATGATGGAGCCGGTTGTGCGACAAATTACAGACCTTTTCAGCGAAGTCAACAAGGTTCAAGCTGTTTATGCATCGCTAGGACAGATCACAGTGAGTATAAATGTTGGTTGTCTAGTCGTTTCTTGTTTCAAAGGCTGTTGTGGCTTCCATTAACCCTATTTTGCCTTCCTTGACATTCTATCCTCCCCTCGTTTTCTACTTTGCCTTAGAGCTTGAAAAAATTGATTACAAAGAAGGATTCGTTGCAAAAGCTCTTCGATAAGGCTGCGCCGTTGGAGGAGATGATGGAGAAGTCTCTTCCTCTTCCTATTACACAGATGCGACTGTCTGATCGGTTTAGTAAGGCAAGTTTCCGATCCCACCTGCGTGTGTGTAAGTGCAAACAATTTGTTCTTCCTGTTTTGTTGCACATGAAATGCTGTGGTACTGTATGTGAAATGTTCTTGAAAAATATAATCTCCATATCTTAGCATCTATGGTAAGGTCACATTTTTATGCTGGAATAAAGTGAGTTGCTCGGACCTGACAACACACCTTCAGGCAAATTTTTTTAGAATGGGGTACAAAACGTGTTGCATTCCATCGGTGGCTAGCGTGGTGGAGTAAGGTCTTCTAATGAGGTCATTAAATGGAAGTGTGAATAATGTGAATGTCCATAAATTTACTTTTAACAGGGAATCACGATCTTGATTCTTCGCTAAATGTGTCTTAGGTATCTGGTATCCCAAGTATGCACCAAAATAGAGGCAAAATGTCAACCCGGATGCTAATTGTGATGCTGATGCTCCTACCAGAGTCCACTTCTAGTACGATCATGACCGATTAAAGCAGAGCACAGTCAGAAGGAATTTGACAACAGGATGTGAGTGAAATAGCTTCGATGAGATAGTTCCTACAGTTGCTGCAAACCACAGGGCACGATGGGTGGAGGAAAGACTATCACTTCAAAGCATTGGTCTGCTTA